CTATTTACGTGCACGCCCCTCTCCTTGTGTGCGAAGTCTAATCGGCAAGAGTGAACCCGAGCTTCAGTGAGATAATTCACTACTATTGAGTGCCCATTGTCTTAATCACACTTACATAAACAACGCTAAAAATTAAGAGAAGTAGTAAAGGTCCAAAGCACAGAAAATATGTCTGAAGAACAAGTACTTGCAAAACAACTGAAGGAGTCAATATCTAACACTCCCAGAGGAAGAAGCCTGTCCCTGTCTTGAAATCCTTTTACGGTGGAGTCGCTACATGCTCACAAGAACTGGTGTGAATATCTGTAGTCATGGGTCGCGGACCGCGTGCGCGGTGTGATCCTATTATCTCGCGATAGGACTGCAGCACACCCGGTGGCCTCCCGTAGTACTGTTTGGGGAGATGATATTCTACAAGAAAAGTGGAAATTGCATCGTACATAAGTGCTGATTTTTGAAGACATTTTTGGTCTGATAACGAGTAGTTTGATGACTGAAAAAAGGAAAACCGAAATTCGCTGGAATTGGAACCTGATCATTATCCCTACGTAGGTAGGCAGTTGCAAACACAAACAGTTTGGTAGAAAGATAGAAAGGCTGGACAAGAAATAATCAGCAAAAAAGGAAAAGGTCTTACCCTAGGAATGGTACACCGTGTGAACTAGTTCTGTTGCAGAAATCCTTGAAAAGTGTCTTGATATTGGTATAACGAACATCTTCGGATGAAGCTGAGCGTACAGAACGTCGTGAAGAGCGACGGCGACTTGAGAACAATGCCGGCACCTGAAGGGCCTAAACGTGTTCACTGTCACTGTTAGAATAACCTACCTGATGATGATCTATTTCTGACGGAATGAAGGAAAGTTCTTACGAGTAACAGCTACAAGAAAATGGGAATACATACAAAAAGGTAAATAGAAGTGAAGGAACTCGATTTTTCGAAGAGAAATCGGGTGCACGCTAGTAAACAAGAAGAGAGATGATGTTGGTCGCCTATTTTCGACTAGACCAGATTAAATTTTCTGCTCTGAAAAACTCGTCTGAGTATAATCCGCGTTTTCAAGAAAACGTGCACAGACGACAATGGAGACTACGAAGAAACACGCTAGAATATGCCAGAACCATCACCAGCGCGTATTTTCTCTAAGTCAAGAAGTGCGTCAATTGAAGGATGTCAAAAAATAGAAAAGCTGCTGTTCGTTCTAACCTCCTCATCCTTTCTACAAAAAGACTCCGCAACTCATTTCGTTTTTTGGCGTACCTTATTATTTCAATCTTCCTCTACTATAGTTTTTCATCACAAAATATCTGCAAAAAAAAGCCGACACTCCAACTCACTGCCTCAATACTCTTATCCTAGTCATTGGCTGTGATGTTGAGCGATAGCAACACCTGTTGTGCAAGCAAGTGAAAAAACGAATGCTAGTTATATATGCAAAGGCTTGTGAAAAGAAAAAAAATAAGTGTTTTGGGTTCCTGAAAAAACCAAGCTAAGGAGCTGAACAAAAAGCGAAGATAAAGCTTTTTCTTGTCTGAAGAAAACGTCCAATTATAATCATTTGAATTTTTAGTTTTTGATTTTTGACTTTTTCTTTTAACCTCTTAACTTTTTCCACGAGTTTTTGAAACATAATTCAACGACCAAGGCTAAAAATATCCGTTGTTTTCAAATTTAAAAAATAATAACCTTAAAGTTTTCGTCGATTTCGGTATCATCGTAATAATCCTTATCGTCCATCGGCAGCTGCGCCGCCGCCACCGGATCACGGCGCTTCTAAAATATATCGGTAAAAATTATCACAATCTAAAAAAGTTAAGAGAGCTGAAAGCAGAGTGTAAACGCCGGAAAATTCCCTTACACATTTGACCTCCCTTCAGTAGACTGAACGCGCACTTTCCCATAGAATAAAATTTTATATAAGTGCAGAATTAGGACCGAAGGACTCACTTCATCGAGCTCGAAGCGTAACTTCTTAATTTTGATGTCGTTCAAGTACGGCGCGTAGTGCCACACGGATTGACCACAACCCGTCCAATTTCTCGCCTGCATTTGCTATCACATTATGGGGCCGAGTCCTTAGGGACATTACCCCCTGAATTTGACTTCTAGTGCACACAACTCAGTTACTGCGCGGATACTGAGCAAATTGCAGGCAAATGAGTAACCAACGCAACAGAGCAGTCGCCTCCACGAACGCTTGTTTCACATTTTCTTTTCTTTACGATTCGTGCGAAAGTTCAAATCCATACCATCAGGTAGCGTTATTTTCCTACAGTCAGAGATAGAATGCGGCTCTGCGTGAGGAATAGTAACTTGATAAATGATTGCAAACCCGAACTCATTGCACATCCTGAACGCAGTTCAAAGGGTAAATGGCAAAGTTTTTTAGCGTTAATAATCAAATTGCTGATTTGGGCAGAGCTACTTCAGTATAATATATTTTCTTCATATCAAGGATAAAGGATAAAGTTTTTGGCGTTAGTTAATCCCGTCTGGGGATGCGCCCCCCAACTCGACTTCCATTCAGAATTGTAGTGGCGTAAGTAGTGCGTGTGTAGCCTATACAATGGCTTGCGGTGGCCAACCGATGTGAAAGTCAGCGCTTTACCTTCCCACACGAGTCTGGTACCAATTTACAGAACCCGAAAGGATAGAAGGTTGTTTGACCTAGGCGGATATCGATCCAGGACCAGTGACCGTGCGTGTGATAAGCCACTTGCCACTACTCCACCTCCGCCCGAACGCAGCTTAGCTAATCCAAACTATTAGGTTGGCAACAAGTGACAGCGTATTACTCCTTGTACTTCAAACGTTTGTCTCGTTAGGTTTTTTTCGTACACATACCCCGAGGTTCCATTGGGTCTTTGTTTATTAGGTCGACGACTTGTTTTTCAAAGTGATTTATATGAAAAAATAGAAGACCAGAAAACTGAATGATTTATGGTCTGTAATGACTGACCAAATATTTCTTTATTTTGTACAAAGAAGGGGATTTTATTATCCCAAAGTATACACATCGCTTGGTCGCCAACCCGATAAATATCGGAATCTCGGCGTCGATGGTGCAAAATGAAGGCAACTGGAATTTCTTTAATTTATTTAGGTGTGAAAACTCAGGGTTTTTATTATAACAAATAGATAAGTTCATTAACTGACAGAAAGTTGACAAATTCGAGAATGTTTCGTTGTCTAGGCGAAGGTTCAATCTTTGGACCATGCGAGTGTGACGGGGTGAGCCTATTTAGTTCCACGTCTAATTACTTCGCACCTTCCTCGCCCATCCACTCACCCGCCTGTGGGGTGGCCTCGCTTAATTGGTTGGCTGCTGACCTCTCTGCC